GGAGTGTCCAGAAAAGCGCTATATAAGTGTAAGGAACTATTCTCAGAACCGTCCTGTGGCTTCATCAATCCAGCTGCTTTCTTGACTTGAAAAACATTACGGTGAAAAAATTTGAGGAAGTCGGGCCGTCTACAGCATAAACAGCGTTGAGGAGCTTGTTGCAAAGATTGGAATAAGAGGCCTTTCTCCCTTTCCCGAAACAAATTAAAAAGACCCTCTATCGCCCGTACCTTCTATGGGCTTAACTATCTGCAGTTTCTCAGGCAGGAAGGTCTTGAAGCAGCTGGAGCTGCCCGACAGGTCGGTGAAGCTGGTGCCCGTGGAGAAGACGCTGCCGGTGGGGGAGCTGCGGCCGCTGCCCCCGGCCCCCGACAGGGCCCTCAGCTTCCTCTCCCGCTCGTCCTCGAAGAACTGCCGCTCGCACAGGTAGTTCTCCCGGCGCAGGGAGAGGCGGCGCAGGGCTGCCGCCAGGTCGCTGCTGCCGGGGGTCCCCGGCTGCCCCATCCTGCTGCCGTCCCTGCGCCAGAAACGTCCGACGGAACACGCCGGAAGCGGTTGTAAATCTCGAGATGTCAGGCGGGGAGACCATTATCACCCAGGCCAAGGACATCCATCTCCATTCCCCCCCCCAACACCCACCACTCCAGGGAGCAAATAATCGTCAATATATTTACTCACGCAACACGGCAACATACCGTATGGGATCATGGACCTGACTACCAACAACTAGTATTTCAAAACAATTTTTGAAAACGAAATACCTCAATTTAAATTTTCCACTGTCAGCTGCCACCATCCCTGATACACATCGCCACCTAGTGGCTCACCAGAGTTAGCTCTCCACACTTGCCTCACCTTACTTTAATGCACTAAAATCATTTACAACTGAGTGGGTCTTTTTACCTGCAGCATGTTGCTAATTTCCTCCCTTGTGAGCATAATCTATAAATTAATCACTGAACACTTCTAACATCCCCTGACAGCCTTCTATAATAGATCAACTGATATCCTCGAGACACTTTAATTCTTCCCTTACAGATTGGAAATTGGAATTGTATTATTAAAAGGTTTATTGCATTACATTTTGATTCCATTGACTCATTCAACCAATGTCCAGGATTTTGATTAATCTTGTACTTACAGTATGCAGTTTTTCACATATTTCTACATGCTTTACAAAATACATTTTTCAGCTGTTAGAAGAACTTAGGCAAGACTTTAAATTAGCAAAGAATTTCCTACTTCATAAACTTTGACAAAATAGGTCACCAGAAGGGATACTTCACAGTAAATGTGCAATTCAATGTCGGGAGGAAAAGGCAAATGACTATTGAACCACCTTGGTGAATTTCGTTTGGTACCCGGGCCTGACCTGGGACTGTCTGTTGGTGGTTCAGTGCGGTTCTGGTGTCTGACGGGCTGTACCCCGGACAGGAAGGGCTGAGCAGTCATGACGACGCCACTTTGGTTCGATCCAGGGATGGGAAGTGGAGGAAGTACCACAGCAGAGTGAGCGCGAACCGACTCATTTACCGTCTTGACCGTCTCAAACACCCGTTTCTGCGTGTTCCTGCCGGAAAGTGAAGAAGGAGAAAAGAGTTCCAGTCTTCCCTGCTTGAAACAGTGAAGCAAAACTTAAGGATAAAGGTCCAACCACCCATTTTCTAACCGCTTTATCCAGTACAGGATCACAGGGGATCTCCGGAGTCTATCCCAGCAAAGCAACAGGCACAAGACAGGATACGCCCTGGGTGTGACGCCAATTCATCGCCGGGAATATATAGACACAGACACACGCACAACAGGGCCAGTTGTCTCAGAAGCTGATTAACCTACCAGGATGTCTTCGGACTGGGGGAGAAAGCTGGAGCACCCACATGAACGGGGGAGAACATGCAAACTCCACACAGACAGCACCCCAGGTCTGGAATTGAATTGCCTCAGCGCTGAGAGGCAGCAATGCTACCCACTGCGCCACCATGCCACCCCCAGGGTCAATAACAAATTATTTTGCTTGTTAATGTACACAAAAACTCCTGGTAAATTCAAAATATGCTCTTTTAAAATACTGGAAACTAAGCAAGGACACTTTTCTCAAACAGGAATTCACCATACTATGTTGCATCTAGAATGGAACTGCTGCAGATATAAATCCATAGGAGAAATTTTACCCCGAGTTACAGGAAACAATTGTACCAATAATTTATGGCACATTTTCTTTATAAAATGCCTAGGCCACGCAGCATTTGTTGTAAGATACTGAGGTAATGAGTTTAAATTTAAAACTTAAAACATCTGTATCCTGCAGGTTTTTAAGACATTGTAACTTGGTCCTGCTGATTTTGGGCTGACCTTTGGTCATAAAAGACGTTTTCTTCCTCCACACTCAACTCTCTTCGCATAGTTACTTCAATTTCAGCAGCTAAAGAGTCCTGTAACAGACAGAAAAGTGTAAAAAGACAGCCTTCATTAGTGAAAAAAAGAAGACATTCAACATTAATTACTCTCAATTTACAAATACTGTGTACATATGACAGCACAGCACTAAACTACTAGTCAGGAAACACTGGGAAGATGTTTTAATCAGCACAGCATTTCTCAACTTGTGTGTTGTGGAATTTTGGAAAAATCACAAATGAGAACAATGTAAATTAATATATTATTATTATATATTATTAAAGTTTCTTTTTGAAGTTTGATGGACAGAAAAAGACCAAAAACTGAAAATGTCTAAGGATCTGAGCAAGAGCTCTAAGCTTCACAGTCATCAATTCCTGCCAGGATAAGGAAAATACTGTAACCCATCTTCCTCAACCCAGATTTGTAGCCTTTCTTTTAACTTCAATTAGTTTTAAATGAGACACCAAATAAAAGAAAACCAACAGTTTTACAGTAAAAATACAGGGGTGAATACAGAAACGCCCTTATATTGTTCACAAATGTGCAAGATGATAATAACATGACTCAATACGTCTTAGATCATACAGTGCGCTTGCTCACTGCAATAATTTAACACTCATTACATAATGTACATAATGTACTAAAAATAACATCATGTGCTGTAAGATACACATCACTGTGTTAATACATTCAATTACCTTTATCTCACTTGGTGACTGTAAGACCCAGAAGAAATTTTATAAATGTAAATGCAACAAATCAAACTTAACCACTATGAATAACATTCAGCACAAATCTAGTGACCTTGTGTAGAAAATAACACTGAAAACTGAATTATATTGCATAGAATTCTCTGTTTATATGTTTATATAGGTATTGAATTGAAATAAGCTTTATTGCCCCTAAGAGAATTTGTCCTGCACAACAAGAGCTCATAAAAATAAAACATACAATAATAATACAATACAACAGTACAATACCCTGATACAAAATAACATTTAACAACACCACTCAATCTGAACTCAATCCAGTATGATAAGATTAACAACAGACATTTAGCTGGTGAAGTGTCTAAAACAACAGCAATGTTCAGTAGAAGACTCCACACCCTCCCTCAGAGCTCTTGTCATTTTCTGTTGTTATATTGTAGCAGTGTATCACATGCAATGTGGATTGTAATAGGCACATATTCCATTGCATAAAAAGGAATGTGAAAACTGCATTAAAAGAATGAGTCAGCAAAATCAACACACTACTGCTGATCACTAAAAATCTAGCCTATTAACATCTAGCGACAAAGTTTACAGTACAGGACACTAACTCATCGTTACATGACCCCTTGCCATGGTTTCAAAATAGGTGATTCAGCTATGAGAGCATGGATAAAAGATGAAGAGTCTCAGCAAAAAAAACCTTTCTGCAAAAGTCAACATGAATGATGACTGTCCCATTGTGATTTAACGGTGGTGACTGAGGAAAGCTGTATTTTTTTCCTAATTTTAGTTTAGGACTATTTGTTTTTGCTGTTGTTAAGTGA